GATCAGCTCTTCTGTCAAGGTTACTTTTTGAGTCTTCTCACCTGTCATCCACTGATCTACCTTCACAATTATGTCGGGAATTCTCTTTGTTTTTCTCCTGTATGGGACTCTTCTTCCCTGGATCTTATTTTCCTCTCTGTCTTGGAGGAATATATCCTCCAATAGAATTGTAGGTTGTAAATCGGTTTGCTCATTGCTCCTTTGTTTTCTAGCTTCCAGGGTTGCTGTTTTGAAGTCCAAATCCTTTTTATAAAGAGCCCTGGTGGTGCAATGGCTAAGGGCTCGGCTGCTAACTGAAAGGTTGTTGATTCAAACCCACCTGGTGGCTCTGTGGGAGAAAGACCTTGTGATCTACTCTAGTAAAGATTACAGCCTAGAAAATCCTATGGGACAGTTCTGCTCTGCTACATGGAGTTGCTATGAGTTGGAACTGACTCAGTGATGGCAACAACAAAAACAACAACTTTTTTTATGTGATTCTCCCCCTTCTGATAGTTTATAGGATTATTTTATTTATCCCCAGAGTTTATTTTTAAACTGACAGCGATGTTGGGCATGTTAAAATCTGTTCACATTTGCAGGTAGGCACTTAGTGTGCCCTTACAGTCTACAAACTTATAACCTTCCATTCTACAAAATGTTTTGAGTTATTTTTTTCCCCTCCATTTCCTTTACTCTTTCCTTCTGAAATTGCTTTTATTTGGCTATTAGACCTGACTTGTCCTCTAGCTTTCTCATTTTTTCTCTTCTATTTTCCCTTTTTTTGCTGTACTTTTAGGGCAAATTTCTTAACTTTGTATTCCAACCTTATGTTGAATTTTCAATGATCAATTTTTAAGCATCCTTTTTGTTTCAGTGGGTACAATATCTTCTTTGTGTTACTATTGCTAAGTCTTTTTATCAGCGCAGATGCCAGAGAGGAGATCTTCAGTCTCAACATTAGATGGTGTGAGGTTGGCAGTGGGAATAGCTACCAGGAAAGACAATATACAGCTTTTCCCTGGCCTTCCATTATCTCATATTCTTGTCTCCAAGTTTGAGGTTGAGTTTTTTTTTTCATTTGGCTCCTGCCAGACTGTATAGCTCTCTACAGAAGGATACACAAGTTTCAAGTCTGAAATTTTTTTTCCATTGGATCGAAATTGTTCTGTACCTTCATAACACTTTTCTAAATCTTTGAGAATAGATCTATCGTTTCCTGGTTTCAACATTGATGGCTGCTTTTCTCCTTTAGTATGTTTTGTTCATCTGTTCTGTTTTGGGGATGGTGGCTTTAAAATCTTTGCCTGTGCAGCTGTCCCTCTCCAACCCAGAGCTCTGGCTTATCTTCTGCTTCACTAATTTTATTTTCTCCTTTATCTGGTCTGAGGTTCGTGGCCTTCATTCAAGTTTCTTATTCAGATTTTTATTTTTTACTCTTTTGGTTAATGCAAACTCTTTTCTGATTTCATGTTTCTTTCTGTGACTGCCTGTCCTATTTTCAAAGATGCTGCTATGTCCTCAGGAATTTTATGAACTTGAATTAGAAATTTTTTAAAGTTTTCTTTTTATATCGTGTATCAGTTTATTAAATAAATACTTGCTGTGATGGAAACCCTGGTGGCATAGTGGTTAAGAGTTCAGCTGCTAACCAAAAGGCTGGCAGTTCAAATCCACCAGGCGCTTCTTGGAAACCCTGTGGGGCAGTTCTACTCTGTCCTATAGGGTCACTATGAGTCGGAATCGACTTGATGGCAGTGGGTTTTTATGGGTGATACTAGAGTTATCCCTTCTTCTAAGCCACAATATGTTTAATTTGCTTGATGGATTTAGATTTTTCCCCGTTATTTATTCTCAGAGAGGGAAGCCGATGCATGTTCAGTATCAGGTATTGCTCTGTGTTCTTTTGAGAGACTAATATGAGTCACTGTTAGACTCAAGTCCAGATACGGAAAAAGGTTAGATTTGCAGAAGATTAATTTACCAATTAGAAGTTCATCTTCCTTGGAGGCCTGAGGAGGGAGCCAGCACTAGATCCAGAACTAATCAAAGGGAAATTTGCCTCAGAACCAGAGAATTTCTTTTCAGTGTTTGGTGTGGCACTTAGTAATTAGCAAGGACATTGTCACCTGGCATGGCTGCCCTTGTCAGAAGCCAGCTGGTTGTGTGTTATTCCCCCACACACTTTCTGGGGCAGTCATCCTGGCCACGTGTAAGTCAGAAGAAACGCAGCCAGAGATTACTTTTTCGATTTGCCCGTGGAGCCAGGAACAATTTTTGAGGAATCAGTATATTCTAAATGTACTCCAACTTTTGCCAGGCTTACCGCTCCACTCCCTCAGCTCTCTGAACTAGGGGTATTGTTATGGGTCTGTTGGGTTCTTATTTGCTTATTTTCTTGCCATGCAGTTTCAGTTTCACACCAAGGCAGACTTAGTCCTCTCCATCTCCTGTGTTAACTCTTTCCAGCGTATCTTTCACGCAGGACCGGGCACTGTTTCATTCTGGAAGTTTTGAGCAATAGCTGGGATCTACCTGTAGATTCTAGGGAGGGTGCAGGATATTTTCTATTCTTATATTTAATAAGAATAAGCTCAAGACTAGCTATGTCTTGACTGCTTTAGGGGAAGACAGATAATTTTCAGTCTTATTTTCCTCTTGCAATTATGAAACCAACAGCCTGTATTATTCATTGTGCATCTCAAGGATATGTCATATAAATCAAAACTGGCAACATATTATTAAAGTTGTATGAAAATGAGAGCAACACAGGGCTCTCTGTCTCAGGGTTTGGGGAAAATAGTTACCTTGCAGGGCATATTACTTTTATCCTGCTTTCTTTGGGACTGTCTGAAATTTCTGCTTATGAAGACTCTAAGCACTTTGCATCTCGTTTTGATTTTTGTTCACTTGGAGGATTAGTCTATGGAAAGAGCATGGGCCCTGGAGTTGGTCCTGGTTTCTTGCCTCAGTTCTCTCCTTTTGCGGCTGTGTGACTTTGGGTAGGTTTCATAACCTTTCAGAGCCTCATGTTTTTCATCTATGAAATGCGTTCACAATATCTGCCTCAAACTGTACGTGAAATGACTGCCCCAGTACCCAGTACCTAGTAGGGTTTCATTCAACTCGGGTTTTCTGCTTTCCCTCTTCTGTTAGCAAGAATGTCATACGGTGCATTTATTTCGTGGGTCACACCCACATGTATCTATACCCTTTTCCTCACTACAGGCTGCTGTTGTTGTTAGCTGCCATCCAGTCAGTTCTGACTTATGGCGACCCCATAGGTGCAGAGTAGAACTGCTCTGTAGAGTGTTCAAGATTGTGCTTTTTAGGAAGCAGATAACCAGGCCTGTCTTCCAAGACACCCAGGGTGGGTTTGAACCACTAACCTTTTGGCTAGTAGTCGAGCACTTAATCGTTTGTGCCATCCAGGGACACCTTACTACAGGCTAAGTGCCAAGTATTCGCCCTCAGGCAATTCTATGAACTCGGTGAATATTGAAAATATTTTAAGTTTATGTTGCTTAATGGCTTAGCTTGGCAGAAATGATGTTGGATACAAGAACCAGTATGAGTCTTTAACAATGCAACCTCGCTTATCTGCTTTTTTTGTTATTATACTATTTATACATTCATCTGTCTACCTCACATATAATAGGGCAAGAGAAAGTAAGTTATAAATACATGAGAAGGCAAAAGGAAAACAAGAGAGACAGGGAAAAAATGATGCCAGGAGTAAGTTCAGTACAAAACAGCACACCAGAGGGCCTAAAATTTTCGGGGGGTAGGTGCAGCACTCAAGCAGCTGTCATGAAAAAGGAAAGGGACTCCTATATGCGTATGCCTTTCTCTTGGGCTGTTCATTACATTTACAGTGTGATAATTTTTTTTTTCCTCTAAAACTGGGGCTGAGGAGAACATCATTGTTTTCTGAGGTTTCTACGATTCTTTGTTGAATCTCATTTCAAGATAGCTTGACAACTTTACTACTTGTTAATAAAAATAGTTGCTGTAACAGAGGGGAAGAAAATAGGAAGACACCACAGTTCAATTAAAAATAAAGCAATTAAAACCAAAGTATGAAAGATAATACACAAAGACAGAGAAGTTCTGCCAAATGTAGATCATTTCTGTGGAAGGCAGCTCTTTTGGTGGTGTGTGACTTGCCTAGTCTCATCCAGCTAATACTGATTTGCACCATAGGATTTGGAGTCAAAGGACTTGTTATTAAATGTCTGACTCCACCACTACTGCTGCACCCTTTTGGGTCTTGTGATGTCTGGTTCAGTACTTTTATCAGTATGAAAAGTATTGTTTTCCAAAAGGCTTAAAAGTGTTCAGGTATCATCTTACATGCTGGTTAAACTAGAAAATAAATTTCCAGACATGGCTCCCTAAAGACAGGGGCTGGCTCCGTCTTACTCATTATGCCCCTAGCTCACTGTAGCTGCTCAATAAATAGCTTTTGAATAAGAGAAAGGATATTGTTAGGTGGCATGTGTTTTCTTTAAATATTTTGACTTGGAGAATTATTAGTTTCCTTTCTGGTTACCTTAATATTTACCCCGATTTTTCTAAGTCTATACCGTCTTTTATTTCTTGATAGTGCCTTGACATCCTCTCCATATGAAAAATCTATGTCTACATTTTTTAGTCGCTCTTTTTTGTTTTAATGTTGTCATCTTTTACGTATTGACATCTGTTTCCCTATTTTCTGTGCTTTAGCTTTGATTTATTTTTGTGACTTCCCTATCTGGGTTGATATCTGGTTGCTCTGTCCTGTGTTCTAGTCTTGGATTGTTATCTGATGTTATTGATTTTCTAACCCGAGGACTCCCTTTAGTATTGCTTGTAATTTTGATTTGGTTTTTGCAAATTCCCTGAACTTCTGTTTATCTGGAAATGGCCTAATTTCACCAGCATATTTGAGAGACAGTTTTGCTGGATATATAATTCTTGGCTGGCAATTTTTCCCTTCGAGGCTTTATATATGTCATTCCATTGCCTTCTTGCCTGCATGGTTTCTGCTGAGTAGTCTGAGCTTATTCTTATTGACTCTCCTTTGTAGATGACTTTTCGTTTATCTCTTGTTTTCTTTAAATTAAAAAAAAAAAGTTTTCCCTTTCTGGACTAAATTGAAATGTGTAAATATCACATCAGTCTTTTGACAGAATTAGGCTATGCTTTACTGTAAGGAGTTTAGATTATTTCTGAGTTTTCTTAATGAACATAATAGAATATGTGGTTATACTCTGTGCTTATTGAGGATGTTGAAAGGATTTTAGAAGTACACTCTTTCTCTTACATATGGAAGTCTGGACATCCTTATTTTGTAGCTAGGATTTATTAAACCCTGCATCCACCTGTCTGAATACCTGACTTACCCCTTTGACAGACCCCTGTAACTTGGAGATGTCTTTTGTTTAATCTTGAAAGTGGTAACTAAGTTTCTTGGGGGGAATGTAATCATGGAACATATTCACTTCCTTATGTTTCATACCGGACTGGGAATTGGGGTTCCTGGTTCTGCCATTAGCTAAATGTGTCCTTCTAGTCTGTTTTCTCCTCACCTGCAGAAGGACAGGGTTGAAATGAGTGGTCTCTAAGACACTTGATGGTATTATTCTCTTTGCCCTTCATACGTAAAACTGTCATCCCTCAATTGTGGGTCGCTCAGTTCCTTTATTATTTAATGACAGGATGGCTTCTACCCCTGCCCTTTGCCTTATCCCCACAACTTGAAACTGCCTCCCCAAAACGTTTAGCCAGCATGCAGAGTTGGATTCAAACTTAGAAAATACACCAGCTTAGCATCATTTGAACAAAATGGTATGGAGGTTATGACTTTAGATTTTAGGTGCTACCCACCATGGTCTTCTTTTCATTAAGCTGGAAGTTGGCATTTGGTCAAAGAATTTTACTGCTTCTGGCCAATGCGATAATCCTCTTAGGCTAAATCCCAGTTTTCGTATCCTTTTCCAGGTACACAGTTTCTCCTAGCATGACCAAGCTCTGATTAGCAACCACGAGAATTTGAATCCTGTGTCCAGTGCCATAGTGCTGGGGCCTAGCTCATCTTCTACAACCATGGCCACTGCCTCTACTTCCACCCCTGTAATTTCACAGCCCCAGGTAAGTAATCAAACTAGTCAAGGTTTGGGCTAATGGTAATTTTGATGAATATTTAAATTGAGTTTCTGAAAGTGTGTTTGATTCTAGGGATCGTGTGTATCCCTCTAATTATCATTTGGTGTGTACTTGGATAATAGTGCTTTTGTGAGGGAGATGCCATTTAGTTCAGGAACCAGCTGAAACAATGAACAAGTGATTTTAGTGAACTGGCCTCTGTTCCTAAGAGCCCTTGGTTTTCAATGCTTAGGATGACTGACGGTTACTATAGGCATCAAACTCCAAATCAAGACAGTGGTAAGTCCTGCTGCTTTCCCTCTCTTGGCTCTTTGGAGTTTAGTGAAATATCTCAAACAGATCTACTCTCATAATAAGTTTCCTGAATGCTGTGTTGTCCTTGTCTTCTCCTTCTCCTCCACTTGGTCTTCCTCCTCTTCTTCTCCTCCTCTAATCCTCTTCCTTCTTATTTGGCCTTGACCTGTTCTAGAAACTTTGAAAACAAAATGCAACCTCAGAAACTTCCAAACAGCTGTCATTTGAGTTGTTACTTTTTCTTTCCAATGGAGTATCAATAATACGGCAAGAGCATTGTCTGTATTCAGATTATTTTACAATCTGATCTATTAGAGTATTAACTGGACTCTTTCAGCTTCAGCAGAAAGAGTGGTACAATGGAGAGGCAGACTTTGGAGTCAGTAGGTCAGAGTTCACATTCCTCCTCCTCCTGTTGCCACATAAGGAGCCATAGTGGTATCAACCTCTCTCAGCTTCATTTCCTCTCGTGTAATCATATCTCACAGGATGGTTTTGTAAGTCTTGCAAGAAGTACAGCCAGAATGCTTCTTAGAAGCGAAGATGGTGAGACTTCGTCTCCTGTACTTTGGATATGTTCCCAGGAGGGACCACTCTCTGGAGAAGGACATCATGCTTGGTAAAGTAGAGGGTCAGCAAAAAAGAGGAAGACTCTCAATGAGATGCATTGACCCAGTGGCTGCAACAGTGGACTCAAGCGTAACAGTGGTCATGAGGATGGTGCAGGACTGGGCAGCATTGCATTCTGTTGTACATAGGGTTGCTGTGAGTTGGAACCGACTTGATGGCACCTAACAACAACAACACAAAGAGTATATGTAAAGCACATTGTAGGTGCTCAGCACGTATAGTTTCCCATTTCTTCTTCCTCCATCTTCTCTTTCTAGAATGCGAGTTATCCATGATGATCCTTTTTAGGTCAAGGTTAAAGAAAGAGCCGTTATGATGGCAATTGGAAATATTAATAATACAAAAGGTTGTTCCACTTTTTTTTCCCTGTATTATTTTGTAGGATACTAAATTTTGTATGTATCTAAAGTAGGTGTGTAGGTATGTGAGATAGAGAGGGAGGGACAGAAGGAGGGAAAGACTGGAGAAAGGGCCATTTTTTTTAAAACCTAGTTTACTATAAATTTTCCCTTTCTTTTCTAAAAGACCTTGGGATTTTATCATGTGGATAAAGTCCTTCCGGTTCTTTAACAATTTAAAGCCATTAGTATTACATCCCTGGATGGTTAGTGATATCGTCACCATTTCTCTTTCTGGTAAATAGACCATTGCCTTTTCAACACTTCATTTACTTTGACGGTTTTGTTTCCCTTTCACTCAATAGTGTTTTTGGTACCAGAGAGACTTGGTGAATGGGTAAAGCGATTTAGTGCCTCTCACCTGAGGTCATCATGTCAAAGTCCAGTGTGGCCGTTACCATGTAATGACTCTTCTTAGCCTTTTGTGAAGTAAGTTAGGCCCTGGCACAGGTTTCCTGGACAAGGCATTTCAGCATCCCAGTCTTGCTGCTATCATTCGTCAGCATTTCCAACAGCCTCATCTTATCTACACATCTTCCCTCTTACACAAGCTACTGTCAGCTGTTGAGTAATATAAATATTTTTAAATGACTCATTTAATTAAAATGTTTAACGCTGCCCAAGGTAGAAAGAGGTCATATTTAACATAAACACTTGGGGAGATGGATAGTCTTGTAAATTCTCTGTGGGAAGACAAATTGGTACCATCGCTCTGGAGGGTAATTTGACAGTATCTATTAAAATTATACCTTTGCACATATCCTGTTCCCATCTTGGTGTCTACGTTAGAAAAACACTTGCCCACGTGCTCAAGATAACATGCACAGAAATAGTCATTGAAGCATTGATCGAAGGCCAACAAGTAGAAAGTTTTAGATATGTTAAGATTGAGATGTCTGTTAGACAGCCAAGTGGACGCGTTGAAGAGAGTTGGATATAGAAGTCTGGAGTTAGAGGAGAGGTCCAGGTTGGAGATAGGTTTATGAGTTGTCAACATATATATATATATATATATACACCAAGCTATGAGACTGAATCAGCACAGCAAGGGAGTGAGTGAAGGTAAAGAAAATAGGAGGTGTAGAGACTGAGCCCTGGGACACTCTGACATTAAGAGGCCAGGGATATGAGGTGGGACAAGAGAACACTGAGAAAGAGTAGCCAGAAAGGAGGGTAGAAAACTAGGAGTATAGTCTCCTAGAAGCTGGAATAGAAATATTTCAAGAAAGGATCTGCATCTGTGTCAAAGGCTATGGCCAAGTCAATTAAGATGAAGACTGAGATTTGTTTGGTCATTGAACTTAACAACTTTCTATTCTTTTATACAAACTTAAGATCAAGCTTATATTTTGAATTTTATCAAAACAGTTTCAGCATTGAATTTATCCTGTTTTTCTCCATTGACTTTCACTTCATTATTTATAAGTTTGTTAGTTATGAAACACAGTTTTCCTGGCCATGACATTTTGTTCTACTTATAGTATGTACTACTTATATTATGCTGTTGGATTTGATAACATTTATAAATATTTATAAGTGAGAGTGCTCCTTTTTATTAGTTTTTATATCAGAATTATTTCAGGATCATAAAAATTAGGATAGTTTCCACATTTCACTTTGTTGAGTAATGCTCTATCATGGAATTTGTTTCTTGAAAGCTTGAAAGAACTTTAAAAACCTTTTGGATAGGGCACTGTTGGGGGAAGTGACTATTTAATATTTTAAACTTTTTCTATTTGGTAACTGATGCGTTCAGTTCTTTTTTTTTTTTTTAACTTGGATCAGTTTTGGCAATTTCTATTTCCTATAAAATCGTTCATTTTGTCAGTATTTTCAAATGTATCTGTATAGAGTGTTATTTTCTTGTTTTTTTAATTCCCTCTGTTTCTGTAGATAAGTTGTTTTTATTCCTTGCTTTATTTCTCTTCTTTCATGTTGATTAACGTAGGTAGAAGATTTTCCATTCTGTTGAATTTTTTCAAAGAATAAACTATTCATTTCCCTATTTTATAATTCATTTACCTATTTTATAATTCATTTATTTCTAATTGTGCATTTATTATTCCTTGTCTTTACTTTCCTCATATATGTTTTTTAATTCTTAAAATGAAGTAATTTATTTATTCTCACTTTATTTAACAATAAACACATTAAGAATATATATTCCCCTTTGGTTATAGCTTTAGGTGTATCCTTTAAGTTTGGACAGGTTATGTTATTGGTGTTTTCTTCTTTAAATATTCTGAAATATACTTAATTTCCTCTTTGGTCCAAGAATTGCTTAGACTTTCTTAATTTTTAAGTGGATATTTTGTTTGTGTTTGTTATTAATTTTAAGTAATTTTTTTTTTTTTGCGGTATTGTAAGTTGCATTTTATTGTGGTGAGATTGTAGTAAGTCTTGTACTAATTTCAGTTTTTGCAGTTTATTAAGATTTTTAATGATGTGTAGATTTGGTAACTTTTTATTCCTGTTTCATACTCCCTTAAAGAGAATATGCTCTTTCTTTGAAAATTATTGTTATTTAGATCTTTATTGTTATTTATTTTTACCTACAGGAACTGTCTAGAAATGAGCTTTTCTACTTCTATTTGTCACAATTTATAATAGCCTTTTCTGTGTATGTATTTTAATACAATGTTATTTAGTATATAGCTATTGAATCCCTTTTCTACAGCTTATACCCTTCATCAACAAAGGAAACTCTCTGTCTCCCTCAATACTTTTTATTTCGAACTTAACTTTAAATGATATAAAATTTTTCTTTTAGTTTTTATTTCTTTTTGTTTAGTTTTGCTTTTATATTCATACAACTAGTTCGTGTTTTAATCTTTCTGGGACCCCTGTTTTATAGATGGGTCTTTTGTAGATAGTACAGAGTTATATTTCTTGGGAAAATAAGTTTTTTTTTCAATAGGTAGATTTATACTATTTATTTGTTATGAATATGTGATTGGGTTTATATAGTATTCCTTAAAATCTACTGCTTTTTCCTATGCTTAATCTTTACTTTAAATTCTGTATTTTTTCCCCCTTGTTATGAATTTACAAGGTGTCCTATAGGTTACTTTTGTTTTTGTAAAATATACCTGATCTTATTTCTTTAATTATAAACTTGAAAATCATGTTATATCTGATTTACCATTTTCCTTCTCCTTCTCTTACCCTTTATTTTCTATATTTTTTATGAAATAAGGTTTTTAGACTTAGTTCATTGTTGCATATTAAAATAATCTTTCAGTAAATTATTGCAAAATTTAAATTTCATAAGTAAATGCCAGTTAGCTTTATAGTAAGTTATTTCACTGTTCATTCTCTGACCTTTTATACATCACCTTGCCACCTCTGGATATATTTATTTTACTTTATCTCTTAACTGGCCTTTATGTAATTTTTAGAGAGGCATACATGGGTGTATTTTCTGAGATCTTGTGTATCTTAGCATTTCTGTTGCTTTTCCATATAACTTACAATTGTTTTGATACATAATTTTTAGTTCACAGATTTTTTAATCTCATAGCTCTGTAAATTTTGCAGTTGAGAAAAATATCTGATAGCAGCTGGATTTTTCATTTTTCATATGAAACTGTTTTCCCTGTCTGAATGTACAGTTTCTAAATTTATTCCTTAGATTTCTAAATATTATCAAGAAGCATAGGTATT